GTAAATCTTTACGGGAGTAGAAAGCCTCATCTTTCTCCCGCGGAGCAGCTGGTAGTTTCGAACCGCTGACGTTAAGGTTCGCAGCCCGATTCGTAACCACTACGCTACCAGAGCTCCTAATCTAGTAGGAGACCCCAAAAAGATCATCAGGACTCGAGTTCAATGCAAAAGCAAGAGGTTTATTTACCAACGCGCTGGGGTCCACTTTCACAGACTCCTAAAACCAGGAGACAAAGGCGATATTTGCCAACGCGCTGGGGTCCACCCTCACATAGACTCCTGAAAACAGGAGCTGAGGGCGACCCCCACTCACTATACACACAAGTTTTTATAGGGTTTCAGGAGGCATAATTGCACAGCACTATAGATACAGTTTCTGATTGGTTGACATTTGGAAAAGCATGAGATGTTACAGTTTAATTGGTCTTGGCATGAAACAACCTTTTTAATCTATAAGCAGATGGGTTTTGGCAATTGCAAGTGTTTAGTGTTTAGGATATTCTCATTCGTCTAGGTCAGTCTGACCATTATGAGTTTCTCAAGGATTATTTTAACATTGAGGGCTAACTGATTGACCTTGTCTCTGGAGGGAACTAAAAACTGAGGCCTAGTCTATTTAAAATGCTTCTTGAAGCCTGACTAAAGTTTGTCAAGTAGCTAGGCAAAATCAGTTAGGGCCTTACATTATGATCAAGAGCTAATGGTACAGAAGATAGAAGTCCAAAGGCAAAGAACAAAACCTCTAGGAATTGATGGAATACAGATTGAAATTCTTCAACAAAGTGATACAGGACTGGAGACACTCATCTATGCCAATAAATTTGTAAAACAGCTACTTGACCAACTCATTGGAAGAGATCCATATTTGTGCCCATTCCAGAGAGGTGACCCAATGGAATGTGGAAATCTCTGGACAATATTATCTCAACGCAAGTAAAATTTTGCTAAAGGTAATTTTTAAATGGCCGAAACAGCATATTGACAGGGAACTGCCTGATTCAGACAAGGACACGGAACTAGGAAAATCATTGCTTATGTCAGCTGGACTATGCAAGGCTTCCAACTGTGTGAATCATGACAAGTTATGGATAACATTGCAAAAAATGGGTGTTCTAGCACACTTTATTGTGCTCATGAAGAATCTATGCATACACTAAGAGGCAGTTGTTCAAATAGAACAAGGGAAACTGAATGGTTTAAGATCAGGAAAGGTATGCATCATGCTTGTATTCTTTCAGCATACTCATCCAATCTGTATGCTGAGCAAATAATCAGAGAAACTGGATTATATAAAGAAAGTGGCATCAGGATTGGATGAAGGCTCATCAACAACCTGTGATATGCAGATGATATAACCCTGTTTACTGAAAGTGAAAAGGACTTAAAATATTGATGAATATCAAACACTGCAGCCTTCAGTATGAGTTACACCTCAGTGTAAAGAAAATAAAAATCCTCACCATTGGACCAATTAACAACATCATGACAAATGGAGAAAAGATTGAAGTTGTCAAAGACTTTATATTTCACTTGGATCCACTATCTACATTCATGGAAGCGGCAGTCAAGAAATCAAAAGATGTGTTGCTTTAGGCAAATCTGCTGCATAAGACCCCTTTAAAGTGTTTAAGACCAAAAATGTCAGTTTGAGGACTAAAATGTGCCTGACCCAAGCCATGGTATTTTCAATAGCCTTATATGCATGTGAAAATTGAACATTGAATTAGGACTACTGTAGAAGAATTGATGGATTTGAATTATGGTGTTGGAGAAGAATATCAAAAGTACTATGGACTGCCCGAAGAACAAACAAATCTGTGTTGGAAGAAGTACAGCCAGAATGCTCCTTCGAAGTCCAGATGGTCAGATTTTGTCTCTCATACTTTTGACATATTATCAGGAGTGACCAGTCCCTGAAGAAGGACATTTTGCTTGGTAAAGCAGAGGATCAGTGAAAAAGAGAAAGACCCCCATGAAAGGGGTAAAATGTACCCCTCTTGCACTGTTGCGAGAGCAGCAGCAGCGTTGGGCTCAAATGTAACAATTGTGAGGATGGCAGTGTTTCATTCTGTTATGCATAGGGTCCCTATGAGTGGGAACCCAGCCCACCACACCTGACAACAACAGCTCCTGAAGATTCTGCTTCAGGATTAGATAAGGGGTGATCTACATTTTTACAAGCATTTACTAGTGATTAAATTGGAGGAAAACTGGAATAACAGTTTTTTTGTAGTCTTTGCTTCCAACTCATTTTTTTTCTCTAACACTCTCAACAGATTATCCTAAAACAGAGTTCTAGCCTTCCAGAATCTAAGTCCAAATGTTTTTTTTTTTAAATAAAAGCTTTTATTGTGACTTGAGTGAAGTTTACAGGGCAGATCATCAGTTTTACATTCAACAAATCATATTTTGTTTCATTGCAATGATTACAATCTCTTCAATGTATCATCAGTTAACAGTATTTACCTCTATCTCACCCCCCACACTTTTTTTGATGTACACATACCACACAGAAAATAAATATGTATTTAGAAGCCCATATGGCGCATTTTACAAGCCAGCCTCCTGCCTGCAGGCACACAGCCTTTCTCATTCCATGGGCCTAGGGTTCTCAGCTGCTCTCTCTTTTCCAGTGCCTCTGCCACTGTCTCTGCTGTCACCACTTTTCTGGTTAGGATCCCATGGCTCCACTCAGCCTCTTCCTTCTTAATAGTCCTAGGGTCCTCTGTTTCTGAAATAAAAGATTAAATACTCCCTGGTGTGGTGCTTTGGGTTAATGCGCCAGACTGCAAAGCCATTTGAACTTCAAGATCGGCAGTTCAAGCTCACCAGCTGCCCTTGGAAACCATATACAGGGTGGCTATGTGTCGGAATCGACTCAATGGGACTTAACAACTCCCCCTTTTAGTTACACATCTTCTACATTTGCATTAGTGACAATCACACTTAGTCCTAATAGCAATTACTTGCAATTGAATCATAAAATCCTATCCTTATCATCCCCCATTGCCTTTCACCAGACTCATTTGGAAAACAGGAAAACTACTCAGTGAGGATTCTAACTTACCCCCCTTGTTCTGAAACTGAGCACACTCATGATAGCTTGTACACCAGCCACTTTGTGCCTTTACGGTGGTGGAGGTGGTATGCAGGACAGTCGGTTCCAACTCATAGCAACCCTGCATAGGGTTTCCGAGGCTATAAATCTTTACTGGAGCAGAAAGCATCATCTTTCTCCTGTGGAACAGCTGGTAGCTTTGAACTGCTGACCTTGAGGTTAGCTGCCTGACTTGTAACCACTATGCTACCAGAGCTCCTTTATAGTTCTCCCTTTTTTGACAGCCAATGTCTAAGTTGCCTGTCCCTATCAACCCAGTGTACTGAGGTGGCAAGTTTGATCCTTGATATGAAGAATTCTTCCCTTTCAGTTGGAATTTTGAGCAACTACAACCATAAGCAAAGGTCCAACTCATCAAATGATAGCAATCAAATTACTTTTTTAAAATGTTTCTTACCACACCTTTCACACATTCTGACTAACACACTGTATATGACTTTCTTTACAGCTTGGGCATCAAATCACTCACTCTTCACTTCTCTAAATGGCTGTCTCAAATGACAATCTTTGTAGACAGTCTTCCCTGATTTACCCACCTGGAAACCATACCTCCCTTCTGCAAACTCCCAAAGCCTTTTAGCACTTCCTAATCTTGTCCAAAGGATTAGGCTGTGTTCCCTGAGGGACAGGCTTGAGTCAGACCTACAACCTGTTTATCCACCAAAGACTTTCTCTGCTATGCTTAAATACAATTACCCATCAGCAAAGTTTAGATTCAACTTGTTGAAACAGGGGTGTAATTCCAAGGATTTATACATTAGGAAGGGACTTAAAGATGGCAGAACCTAATTAATTCTCCATAAGATTCTTATTTTTACATATATTTAATGTAGAGATTTTAGAAAGTCACCCCGTTTTAAAATTCTTGAATCCTTTGCCAACCAGTTGTTTAGCTTCTACTTGAACACTTCCAGAAACGAAGCCCTCATTACCAGGCCCATGAGTCTTTTCCATTTTTCTGTAGCTGATTGTCTCCTAGGAGTCCTGGTGGAGGATCAGAGAAAAAGAGGAAGACCCACCCAACGAGATGGATTGGCCAAGTGGCAGCATCTATGGACTCAAGCGTGGCAACAGTAGTGAGGTTGGCCCAGCAGTGTTTCGTTCTGCTGTGCATAAGGTCCCTAGGAGTCGGTACCAACTCGAAGGCACCTGACAACAAGGAGTCCTGGTGTGGCGCTGTGGGTTAAGGCGCAGGACTGCAAAGTCGCTATGAGCCGCAAAGTCAGCTATACAGAGTCGCTATGGGTCGGAAACAACTCCACAGCACTTAAAAACAAAACAGGAGTCCTGGTGTGGCGCTGTAGGATAAGCATTGGACCGCAAGCTCAGCTTGAACTGCAAGGTTGGTAGTTTAATTCCACCAGTAGTAGTTCCTTGGAAACCCTAAACAAGGTCACTAAGAGTTGAATCCATTGAAGGCACTAAACAACATTTATCTGAAATGTCTTCTTCTACATGACAATCATTTCGAATTGGGATTGTTGTTTACTATCCTCAAAATAGTTTTAGCTGTTATTTAGTGCCATCAAGTCGATTCCGACTCAGAGTGACCCAGTATAGGGTTTTCAAGGAGCGACTGTTGAGTTTGAACCGTCGACCTTGTACTTTAAGCCGAACTTTCAGTCCTGCACTTATCCTACAGCGCCACACCAGTCACGTCCCAAGGTGCTCAGATCCTGGACAAGTCTGGTACCCATGCCTCAGCACAGGTATGTGGTGTGATCTTTCTAGTCTGCATGGAGTACGGTTTTACTCTCAAGGCCCCTGGGGACTTACATACTATTTCATATTTCACATCGTTTTGTCTGCTTAGGTAACAACCGCTACTATTTATAGAGTTCTTACATTTACTCTTCACTCTCCCGTCTTTGGACTGAACCACAGCTCGTGGACGCACAGTATTTCCTGAACTAGCAAACCCATGCGGTAGTTGCGATTATCTTCCAATTTGAAAATGAGATCAAAAGAAATGAAAACCGGCCATAATTTGTTACATAACCATAATTTAGTAGTCAATCCGGGAAGTATTGCAAAGTGCCGCGCTCCCGGCGACAAGACGCTGGGACCAATGGTCTTTTCGCAGAGCTTTCGGTGTGGCGCTGTGGGTTAATGCGCCAGACTGCAAAGCCGTTTGAACTGCAAGGTCGGCAGTTCAAGCTCACCAGCTATTCCTTGGAAACCCTATACAGAGTCGCTATGGGTCGGAATCGAGTCGACGGCACTTGACAACAACAACACCCTTCCGTAGGAGGGTGTGCGAGTGCCAGTCATGTCACGCCTTGCTACTGGGAAACCCACTGAGAATCCTAATCTTTTGGAATGGATAGGAAGGCAAGGAAGCTCATTTCCTCCTCCAACATGGCGAACTGCATCACGTGGGCTGAGGGCGGGACCGTAACGCTCGCCGGAGACCAGCCTTAGGTCACATGAGGGGGGCGTGGCAGCAATGTATGCACTCTTTCTATAGGTTACTGGGGTTTGAAGAAGGCGTAGCTAGAACCGTCCCCACAACCGGGTTTTGGTCTTGTGGCTCAGAGGCGTGGAGGCCACAGGGGGCGTGCCGTCACTAGACCCAAGCCGCTAGAGCTGACGCTCCTCGTGGGGCACGCCCCGGGCCTCTTGGAAGTTCGAGCGCGACGGAGGGGTGGAGCTTTCTTCATGACCTTTCACCCCAGCATGGCTGCGCCCGTGGGACCCGTGAAGTTCTGGCGACCGGGTAAGGCCCTTGGCGGAACTCTCGGTTGGTGCGGCAGCCTGACTTTGGTCTTGACCCTGTGGCTGTCGCCTCCGGCCCTGTGGACCTGCTCTCAGGCCAAACCTAGGTGGACCGGACACCGCCGCTTCTGTGCAGCTCAGGCTCGCCTGGGGTCCCGACAGACTCGGAGGTCCTCTCCCAGTCCGGGGAAAAACTCGGTGTGACCTTGTTCTAGTCGCTTTGCATTGCACCTTGTTTTTCTCATAGATTCCGGCCCTGGCCCTCTCGCGAGATGGGGAAACGTTTTGTGTGCGCTTAAGTGCCGGCGCGTGCCTATCTATCCTGTGGCCACGGTGGGGCCCGACCGGCCCTCCTGCTCAGGGCTTTGGAGCCCGAGCTACGGAGTCAGACTGCTTGCGTTCGAATATGGGCTCTGCCTTGTTGATTTTGGGCAAGTCACTGAACTCCTCTGAACCTTAATCTGCTCACTCCCAGTATCTACCAGAAAGTAAAAACCCCAAACCAAACCCGATGTCGAGTCCTATTCATAGCGACCCTGTAGAATAAAGCTGAACGGTCCCATAGGTTCTTCAAGGCTGTAACGGCCACGGAAGCGGATTGCCATGTCTTTCTGGGTGTGAACCAAAAACCTTTCAGTTAGCCGGCCGCTTTAACTATGGCGCCGCCAGGGCCCTTCCAGAAAGTTAAGACCCTAATTAATGTTTCCTGTAGGTGCAGCCGAATCTCAAACACAAACCACTTTGCATGTCTCAGCTCTTGTTATTTATTCATTAATCTGATTTGCATAGAAGGTGTACAAATGCCAAGTCCTGCTAGATGCATTATTTACCCCCTTTCCACCCGTTTTTTTGTGTGTGTGTGTGTGTGTGTGTGAGAAACAAAAGTTTCTTAGCAATTACCAGCTTGTTTTTATTCCACGCCTCTGCTCCTTTGCATTCCTAGGTGTGCAAAGTTTATTGCAGGAAAAATGAAATGATACAAAACAGGTGATATAAGGGCATTTAAAGGGTGTTTCAGAATGGTTCCCTGAAATTCTGACCATGCCTAGATGTAATATGGGAGACAAACCCAAACAAGGACTGTACTTAATAGTTTAAAAGTATTTGTCGTTAGTTGCCATTCAGTCTGTTCTGACTCATTGTGACCCAGTATAGGGTTTCCTAGGCTGTAAATCTTTACAGGAGCAGAAAGCCTTGTCTTTCTTCCAAGGAACAATTGGTGAATTTGAACTGCTGACTTAATGACAGTTTTATGGTTCAGCATTTCAAGGCATCAGTAGTGATCTATCCTGAGTTTTGTTTCAGTCAAAATTAGATCCCACTAAGTAATGAGAACCTCTACTTTTAAGGGTCCATAGGTTAGAGTGGTCAGTATACTGAAAGACTGAATAAATTGTGAAAAATCTGATCAGAGTGCTGTTTTGGTTAGAGAACATGGGATTACTGGAAGCATTCTATTCAGTTAACTCGTTGATAATTTGCTTAATGAACACCGATCCTTGGGGTCATGAGATAAGTATAGATGATGCAGCGCTGCTCCCAAGATGCTCTTTCTTACCACTGTAAGTTGAATGTGTGTTAGAAGAGATTTTAAAGTCAGGTAGAATAAGGTAATGAATGGTAAACAAGCTAATAATGCTCTAGGTGCCCATGTTGACTACCACTTACAACTTCATGACCCTGGCAAAGTCACTTTAGTGCTCAAAGCCTGTTACTTCATTTGTAAATTGGGTATATAAAGTCCTGGTGTGGCACTGTGGGTTAATGTGTTGGACCACAAGGTCGTTTGAACTATAAGATCAGTGATTCAGGCTTACCAGCCGCTCCTCAGAAACCCTGTTCAGGGTGGCTCTGAGTGGGAACTGACTCAGTGGTACTTAATAATAACAAAGGATCATAGGAAGAAATCAATTCAGTAACAGTGAATTTGGTTTTTATTGAAGAGAGATTTTGGAGGCAGATGTGGGAGAAGATGAAATTAGGAATGACTTGGCGATTCTGGAGTAGGTGACTGACTGTCTAGTTGAGTGATTCTCAAATTTTTCTGTGTAGACAAATCACCTCTGAAACTATTAGAAATTTCAATGCCCATTCCTACTTGGTACCAATTAAATGAAGTCTGGTGGCTGGGGACCAAGCATCAGTATCTTTTAAAGATCCCTGGGTGATTACAGCATACCTGAACGTTGGGGAATCATGGTCTAGATTATATCATTCACTAAGGTGGGACTAATATAATATCCACTTATTAGACCATTGCTTTGTACTAGTCACATCATGATAAATGGAGAAAATATTGAAGTTGTCAAGGATTTAATTTTGCTTAGGTCCACCACAGTCAACACTCATGGAAACAGCAGTCAAGAAATCAAGTGACATATTACATTGTCTGCTGCAAAAACTCTCTTTAATGTTGAAAAACAAAGATGTCACTCTGAAGACTAAGCCATGGCATTTCCAGTCCTCTAAGGTAGCGTAGTGGTTACGAATCGGGCTGCGAACCTTAAGGTCAGCGGTTCGAAACTACCAGCCGCTCCGCGGGAGAAAGATGAGGCTTTTTACTCCCGTAAAGATTTACACCCTCGGAAACCCTGTACAGGGTCGCTATGGGTCGGACCCGACTCGATGGCACTTAACAACAACAACAACAACAACATATGCATACGGAAGCTGGACTAAGAATAAGGAAGACTGAAGAGGAATTAATGTACTTGAATTATGGTGATGACAAAGAATATTAAATATGCCAAGGACTGCCAGAAGAACAAACAAATTTGTCTTAGAAGTACAGTCAGAATGCTCCTTAGAAAGGAGAATGGCAAGATTTTGTCTCGCTTAATTTGAGCATGTTGTCAGGAGGATCAGTCCTGGGAGAAGGACTGCATGCTTGGAAAAGTAGAGGGTAAGTGAAAAAGGAGAAGACGGTCAATGACATGGATTGCCATAGTGTCTGCCGCAGTGGGCTCAAACACAACAGAAGCCTTCTAGATAATCGAAATGAGTGAAAACTACTAAGAGGAAGTAATAGGTAGTGGTGGGGACTATGACAAGTTAAGAATACATACATTGGATAGATGAGTACGGTGTAGGTATACATACACTGGAGTATACACAGGCTATCAAAGCTGGACTGAGTTCCATGTGATTGTTCTCATTAAGGCTCAGTGTTGCTGGCTTCCCTCACACCCCCAAGTCTAACATTAAGATTTGAATGGAAAATTGTTTTATGTGTTGTTTTAAATGAACTGACGTAAACATTTTAACAGCAGCATGTTTAGAGACCTTAAGCCACTAGCTTGTGACCTCTTCCTTAAAAATGTGACTTAAAATTCATTTTGTAGGATGAACACTGGACTGCAAGATTGGTTTGAACTATAAAGTTGGTAGGTCAAACTCAACTAGCTGCTCCTCGGAGACCATTTACTAGGTCACTATGAGTCGGAACTGACTCGATGGCACTTATCTGAGATTTTATCAGAATTTTTTTTTTTTTACTTGATTTGTGAGTATGAATGGATCAGAAGGGCTTGGCGGTTCTCATTCAGTCATTCCTTGGATGTTTCTTTATGGATGACCTTGTGAAAAATACACTATAGCAATAGCTTTGAAGCTTTTTTGACCTGGTCCACAATGAGATAATTGTGTTGTGATGCAACACACACGCAAACAACTGAAAAGAAGTGTACTAAGACAATACTGTTTTGTGGGATGCACTCTGATGCTTTCTATATCTAATTCATCATGAAAAAATGCTGATCATGAACCACAACATGAATTTCACAACCCACTAATAGGTTCCCACTCACATCCTGAAAAGTTGGCTCAGAGGGAATGCTGGATTGGGGTGCAGATGACAAAGTTATATATGCTCCCAAGGGACTAGCAACCATAAGCAGCCAGATCGGGCTGTGGGTGTGTGCGGAAGGAGAGCAGGTTTGGCTGAATGAAGACTTTTATAGGGAGGAGACATGCTCTGTATTGATCTGGTTGGCAGGAGCAACTCTTGTCAATGGTCTTATGACAGAACCCAGTGACACAGACATGGCTGAAGGTTACAGATCAGGGAGGGACGAGCATTGAAGAAGACACCTGAGTGGATTCAACCCTGGATGGAAGGAAGTAGATACCTTGCAGGAGCAGTGTTAAAACTATTCCCGACATGTTGGGAAAAACCTCAGGAATTCAGAACAAAGATGCAGCAGATCAGGATAAGGTATTCTCTGTCAGTAAAGATTGTACCTGAGAAAAGATTGTACGTTCGTCACCAATAAGGGGAAGTGAGGGAAAAACAGCAATGAAGCTATGAGCTAAGCCCTATAACGTTCAATAGACACCTGTGAACCTGGCTGGAGAACTGGTTGGCCAGCAGTGTGGCAAGACCTGGGGACCCTTGGGCCCAGAGTCAGTGACATAGCCAAAGAGGACTAGAGTGGAGAGTGAAGCGTCCAGCCGATAAGAAGAGAGGGCATGTGCATAAGAACACCCACACTTGCAGATAATACCCACTTGACCTGGCTTCAATGACTAGATGATCAGAGTTCAACTAGAAGAAGGAAGAAGAGGAAAAAAAGAGTAATCTGATACAATTTGATGAACTTGACCTACACTTGTAGATGCAGTAGCTCAAAAGAGGGAACAAATCTTTACAGCGAGGATCATTCCTACCCCTTCCATGCACAGAGTAGACAGGGATGGGCAACTTAGACATTGGCTACCCAAAATGGGGGGGGAGGGGGAAGCTACAAAGGCAAGAAGTGACTGGCTTACAAGCTTTCAAGAGGGAGCCTAGATCCAGAGGGTGCAGAGGAAGGTAGAATCTCCACTGAGTAGTATCCAATCTGTCTGGGCAGGGCTGATGAAAGGAGACAGGGATAGGTCTCTTGTGATACAATAGTGAATAATTGTTATCAGGACTGACTGAGGGTTGGAAATGTAAAAGTGGATGTTTTGTAGCAAAAGGAGGGGGAGTGATTGACTTTGCAGTCCAGGAGCAGAGGTCCCTAGGACCATCAAGGGAGAAGAGTGGAGTGCGGGACCCTACCCAGAGAAACAGTGATGACAGAGATGGAGGCAGAGACTATGACTTGGAGAGATGCAGCAGGTGGGAACTGTAGACCCAGAAAGGGAGAGGGGCCGTGTGCTGACGACCGGGGAACAGGCTTGCAGAGTATATACCCTTTGGTTGGTTGATAATGCATGGAGGGGGTTGTAACCATGGCAATGAAATGACATACGATAGGATGAATGTAAAGCTAATGTTCTCCCATGTAAACGATCACATTAATTCACAATAAAAAAAAAAAAAAAAAAAAAAAAAAGATTGTAGAGTTACTAGATGCAGTGATGAAAAAGGCACAAAGGGAAGGAAACTGGCTTCTTTGGGCACAGGCTTTGTTCCAGGTCCTGCGTTATCTTCCGTCTTGTTGAAAGGAGGGTCAGCAAAGGCAATAAAGCAGTGCCCCACTTACCTGGATTTTGGCAATCCTGGACTTTTGGGACACAGCTCTGTTCCTAGAAATAAATGGAAAAGGGGTCAGAGATCTAAAGCAGTGATTCTAAATTTGGCCCAGGGAGTTTCAGATTTTGGTAACTTCACATCTGCTCTTATTTTTCAGACGAGAGAGCCCAGTCTTTTATCAGGTTGGTGAAGGGGTCTGGGATCCTAAAATTGTTAATTAAAAAAAATTGCTGGGCTAAATATCCCTGCCAGAAAGCCCCTGTCGTTTCCCATAGCACAGGAGGCCTGGAAGTGCAGTAGATGAAGCATTCTGCTGCAAATGGAAAGGTTGGCAGTTTGATAAAGAAAATTGCTGGTAATTTTGGCTTCCACAAAGATTACAGCCTTGGAAACTGGAGCAGTTGGACTCTGTCCTGTGGGGTTGCTGTGAATCAGAATGGACTTACTAGCAGTGGGTATGTATCCCTGCACACCACAGACAGGATGCAGTTGCAGTATGTATGTGAACGTCTACAGGTTTCTGGCTGACTTACTAGGTGGTACTCAATGACTCTTAGATTTTGTTTATGTTGAATTTTGGACCCTGTGTGAATTACATGTCACTCCTAGCTCTGTCCAAGTGCCACACGTACAGATTGGCATGAAGAAGTGAGGGAAACTGATCATAAAACTGAACTCATGTTTATTTGAAGGTTTTTCCCTTTTCAGGCTAAAATTCCTTGGTTTCTTCAGTAGTTTTTCATGATGGGATATTGACTTCCTGATTCTTCATCAGCCTGAGTTCTAGTTTTCCATTTTCCTTACCAAGAGTTGTGGTTTCTGGGAACACCACTTCCTGTTTAGCTGCTCCCACTGTGGTTCAGATGAGGGCTGCCATTCCCAGCATCCTACTCCACTGACCGTGGCTGATTGAATCAGGGTGGATATTGAACCTAAACTGTGGGAAAAAGTCTCTGAGCATCTATAAGAATGGCATGGAGGCAGCATCTGACATCCTCTGGCTTTCTTCGGGGGAAGGAGAAGCCAACTGTCAGCCCAAAGCCGGTTCCTGTGAGGGTGAAGTCAGACGTGTCTCCACTCTCCAGCTTTCCTTACCAGTTCTGACACCAACCATCCCTTTATCACACTCTACTTCTCTTTGGAATCGATAATTCACTGCAGTGACCACACAGAACTCACAGACAATACTCACAATTTTAGGGTGTACTAGGGAAATTAACAGGTTACAACTCAGGATCAGAAATGCTCAGGACACAGTACTTCCCATCAGGTATACTTTTCTGTGGTCCCCAGGCCCGTAGCCATGAGGCCCTTTGGCTTCTGCTCTGCTTGGGCAATGGTTACAGAGCTCCTTAACACTGCTGATAAGTGCCCAAAGGGCACTTCATTCTGCCATAAGCCTCAGCCTGGGAGTGCTTAGCTTTTGCTCATGGATCAGAAAAGTAGCTCCCCCAATTAAGTACTTGGAGGCAACCTACTTCTGCCTGAAGGCGGCACTCAGCTTACCCACTCTGTGGGTTTGGAAGCCCACCACTGTCTTGTGCTTTTGGTTCTGCAGCCTCTGCCTCTCTGCCACCTCTGGTGTTACAGCTCTGTCACCTGGATGTAGGAGGTTCAGCACACAAGGATTGCATGGTTCACACAGTATTCTCCACTCCTGGCTCTTCTTTCATGATGCTGGTGAGATTCACCATTATTGCTTCTGAGATGGCTCCTGTTATACCCAGTGGATGATAAAGTTGACCAATCCCCGTATTAGAGTTCTGAGTTTCTGCATTCACAATTAACTTTGTTGACAATCACTCTTAACTTAATCACTTAATCCTATCATCATCTTCCCTCACCTTTAACCCAGATCTATCAGGAAAAGAGGAAATGACACCCAATTTGATTGTCCCACCTAGTCATTAGGTGGGAGTTACAAAGACTATGACTATAAGAGCCATAACAAATCACTACATCACATCATCCCATAAAAGACTCTTCTTCCCTAACACACCACAACAGACACAGTTTACACACACAACTCCTGGTCCTGCTGACCTGCCCTTTATTTTTCTTTGTAGCACTTGTTAACACTTTGGGTACTAAATTGCATTCTATTAAGGGAAGAAGCAGGTGAGCTTCCTGAGGGCAGGGCCTGGTCTGCTTACTATCTCTAGCACTTAGAGGAGTGCCTGACAGAGTAGGTCCCAGACAGTACTTATTGGGTGGGTGAGTGAGTGAGTGATTGGGGAAGGGGCTTTGATTCTAGCTCCTGTTGAAAATGGTAAGCATTGATGGGAACGTGTTGAGAAGTGCAGAGATGAGAGATGGTAAGGGCTCCGGCAGCCTTTGGGTTCCTCGTTCCTGTTGTCCCTGAGCCTTGCTGCTGCCATTCAATAATAGGGTTCAGTCTTTTGCCTCAGCTAATTCCCATTGGGTTTCTGTCACTTCTGCAAGTTCAGTAATACAATCGGCCTGGAAGCCTGAACTGAAACCCCTGTGCTCTGTAAGGTAACAGTCCCCTGGTAGTCCATCAACTGCTAAGTGAAAGGTTTGTGATTGGAATCCACCCAGTGATGGCAGGAGAAAGACCTGGCAGTCTGCTCCATTCCAAATTCCAGCCTAGAAAACCTGATGGGGCTGCTCTGAGTCCTCACCACCACCACTCGAAGATACAGACGTGGGGGGGAATTCTATCTCCTTTGTTTTAGATGCTAGGGAACGGTTTAATAGAAGATTTCTTTGCATTCTGATAGCTGCTTTTCTACACATGTTCCTAAAGTTAAAATCTAACACCTTTTAGTAGCTTGAGGTAAAATGCATTGCTTCTATTGTGTGTTTGAAAATGTGTGACTTTTGCAAGTATTTCTGTTCACTGCACCAGAGAATCTGAAATAACATTTCTGTTGCAGGTACGGAAGGGCCAGGTGTCAGCATCTCTGAAGAGAGACAAAGTCTAGCGGAAAACGCTGTGACAACTGTTGTTTACAATCCTTACGCTGCCCTGTCTATAGAGCAACAGAGGCAGAAGCTACCAGTGTTTAAGGTGTGTTGGATAAGCATGTTCCGTCTGGGAATCGTGTGAGCATCAGCTTTACACTTGACATCCACATGGCATTGCTCGTTTACTCTCAATGACTCTTTGGAACACAGTGAACTTATTCTTGACCAGTCAGATCTTAGTGAAAATTGGGAAAAATAGGAATGGTGGTCTCCCCTCTGCTCCCCACCCCCAACTGCTTACATGGACAATTTCAAATATTTGGAAACATACAGAAATAGCACAGTGAACTATGCGCTCATTTGCAACACATTGCCAACATATAGCCACTCTATGGCACTTAACAACAACCCTTCATTTTAAAGATCAGGTTGTTAAGTGCTGTCAAGTCGGTTCTGACCCATAGCGACCCCGTGTAGGGTTTCCGAGGAGTGGCTGGTGAACTTGAACTGCTGATCTTGAGGATCATACTGACTTTGCAGTCCAGGGTGTTACCCCACAGCACCACGCCAGGACTCCCTTTAAAGGCATAGTTCTATTAATAGGATTAGTTGGGCATAGGGAGGTATTTCAGTTGAAGAGGTAAGTTAGTAGTACCTCTGACTTGTGCTCAGGCAGTGAAGAGATTTTGGTGGGCTTACCACCTACCACATGCTCATCCAGACACTTGATTTCTGAATGCGTCGGTCCTGGATGCTTAGCTCACAGGGGATCCAGAATACGTCCCTTTTACAGTGAGCAGTAGATCTCCAGTACACTTGTTGTGTTCACTGATAGACGTACTTCCTACCTGTTGGCAAGTTCACCTGGGAAGTCAGACTGTAATCAGGAATTGTGCTCAGAGCCAAAGGTGGCTTAGATATTACGGAAAGGTACTTATTTATTCAGCTCCTGATGATAGTTGATGCATTTTTCTGCCACACTGAATAGCTTTGAGTGACCCCCAGTAGGTGTGGCCACAAGCACCAGGTCTCTCTTGGATGGTGCTGGGGTTGAAGGCTGCCAATTTCTCATACTTGAGGAGTCTTTTTGCCTAAACTGGGCTGATCATCTCGCTTCTATTAGTGTGTTCATTTACAAAGGAATATGAAACAGCCACTTCTTAACAAAGGCACCGTGACCCAAACATTGTAGTCACTCATGTACTGACAGTCGCTGGATTTCTTCTTCAAATGACTAATCTTATCCATTATGTGTGAATGTTGCTGGTTTGGTCCTCAGGAGATGAGATGTTTCCTCATCACTGAAGGATGCAGTGTGAGCCGCAGTGAAGTCGCTGGACTCTGGAGCTAGACTTTAGGGCACATAACCAAGCTTCACCACTTGCCTGCTCTGTGACCTTTCTCCACCATGCTGAGCTTCAACTTCCGTTTCAGTAGAATGGTGCAGATAGTAAAATCTGCCTCATAGGATTGTTTTGAAGACCAGTGAGATAATGTTAAGTATTTTAGCAAGATACTTAACATGTAGTAAACTCTCATGTTCAGGGCTAGATATTGTTTACCAAGTCCATTTTGGGCTTTTCTAGACTGTTCTTCATCCTCCAACTATACTTAAAAGGTAAAATAAACAAAATGACAACAAATTAAAAACATACTAAGAAAAGGAAATAGAATTTAAAATACGATGGGGCTTTAAAAAGTGTGTGGAAAAGCTCTGTTTTTTTAATTCCATCTTCCCACAAATTTTTTGAAACTCCCTCATATACTGATGAAATTAAATTGATGAAGAAAGCTGTCTGGGCAGCACAAGCTAATTGTGATTGGCCACTAACCTAAAGATTGGGGGTACATACCTGTCCAGCAGCTCTGCTGAAGAAAAGCCTGGCAAACTGATGAGTATGTTTCATAGTTGTTTTGAGCATCCCTGTTGATGTACATTTAGGCTGTTTTGCTTTTTTGCCACTGTCAGCAGCGCCACAGTGAATGTGCTTTGTGTACATGTATTAGTGTTTGTAGCATAACTTCTTAAAAGGGGAAATTGTGAGTCAAAAAGAGTGTGTGCATTATATATTTTGATCAATAGTACACTCCACTGTAGTCAATTTACACTGACACCAACAGTACCTGAGAGTTGGAAATTTGTTGTTGTTAAGTGCTGTTGAGTAGATTCCAACTCAGACCCTATTCATAACAGAAAGAAATACTGCCCAATCCCATACCATGTACACAACCGTTGTTATATTTGAGCTCACTGTTGCTCAGACTTAGTTAGTCCTTTTAAAAGTTTACTTTGCTTAAGTATCTGTAAGCAATATGTAGTTACTTAATTTTCTTTTTCAGCTCAGAAATCACATACTGTATTTGATAGAAAATTATCAGACAGTGGTGATTGTTGGAGAAACGGGATGTGGGAAAAGCACGCAGATTCCACAAGTGAGTACATATTTTATTTGTGTCTTTACACTTAGTTTTGGTTGGAAGGACATTGTCACTTGCGCTTTTAAAGCCTTTTCTCAAGGAGAAATAATTCATTTCAACTAGGTTTTATTAAACTTTTTTAGGCTTTTGATTTCTTTGATAGTACCAAAGTAATAGTTGTCTTTACGATCATTCCAAAGTAATAATTGAATAGTTCTTCTCTAGAAGGCACCATGGATATTCATTCAGAGACACAGTTTTTGTCCTCAGATAAAAAGTGGCACCAAAGGTATACTGCTAGAGGTGTAGATAACATGTGACTCTGGTAACGTAGTGGTTACGAATCGGGCTGCTAACTTCAAGGTCGGCAGTTCGAAACTACCAGCTGTTCCACGGGAGAAAGATGAGGCTTTCTGCTCCCGAAAAGATTCAGAGCCTCGGAAACCCTGTTCAGGATCACTGTGAGTCTGAACTGACTCAATGGTACTTAACAACAACAACTCCTGGAATTACTTAATGCTACAGAAGAGTCCTGGGATCCTGGTGTGGCGCTATGGGCTGATGCGTCAGCCTGTATTATAAGTTGTTTGAGCTGCAACATCGGTGGTTCAAGCTCACTAGCTGCTCTTTGGAAACCCTAGACAGGGTCGCTATGGGTCGGAATTGACTCGATGGCACCTAACAACAAAAACAACAACACAGAAGAGTCCTGGGGTGGCACTGTAGGGTCAGCACTGGACTGCTAACCATAAGGTTGGAGGTTCGTACCCACCAGCTGCTGCTCGGAAACCCTATTCAGGGTTGTTCTGAGTCTGAACCAACTTGACAGTATGTAACAAGTAACAACAGCATGGAAGAAACCCCACTTAACTGGAAAAATCCCATTTGATGGAAGCAGGAGTTGAAGGAAGGGTACAGAAAGACCTCTTAGAGGAAATGGCATTTGAAATAGGCCTTGGCTGATCAGTAGTTGCTGGCTGATAAGATGTTCTAGTCCAGTGAGTATTGTGGTTAGATACTGGGGTGGAGGACTGGAAAGGTAGGTTAAAAGTCTTGGCTGGAAGTACAAAGAGTGATAGGTGAACAGGATGAGAGTTATTGCAGGTTTTTCTTTTCTTTTTTAAAATTTAATTTTAAATGAAAGTGTAAAATTCACTTAGGAAAGTGCATATATCATAAGTGTCCAACCTGATAGATTTTCACAAGTGAATACACTTGTGTTACCAGCATTCAGATTAAGACCCAGAACATTACCAAAACCCCAGATCCCTCTATTCTCTCTTCTAGTCTCTTAATTTCCCATCCCCTGTCGGGGACCGGCCTCAACATAGGTGTTGGAGTCACGAGTGTTTGGTTCACGAGGAGGGGATGTCCGGCGGCGATAGGGGTAGCAAAAGAATACACAGAAAGACAAAAGGAAGGAGACAAAGAGACACCCCAAAGCCAGGGTGGATACATTACTGGCGTCAGGCAGCTCTGGCATGGTGAACATATTAGCCATGAGGGCAGTAAGGTCCCGCATGGCAAACATCTTAGCTAAGCGGGCAGTACGCACCCCTTACTAGCTAGTCAGTAATGCATGCCTAGTCAGCCGCACAGCACGTTCTCCAAGCTGTACTACACACTTTCACAGCCTGCCTGCAATGCACACCTGGGCCGCCCTGTGTCTCTGTTTTATTTAGGGAAGGAGCTTCACACCAAGCTGGGAGGGACTAAAACAGGATACAGCTAACATCAGTAATTTTCCAGACATTCAGGTAACTTTACATCATACTTCGCTGGTTCGAATCCCAGGTCCGCAACTTGGATTCTCAGGCTCAATTAACATATCTATAGCCCCTGAGCTCAGTTGGGGCAAGGTGAAAGGGAAGGACAAAAGGCTTGGGCAGAGTCCCACTGTTTTAGCTTCCTGAGCCAGGCTTTCAGGAACTTGGCTGAAAAGCTAACACCAGGGAGAGGTTTAGGGAAGATGGCTTTTTTGTCTATAGATCAAAGAATGGGAAGTAGCTAAGCTATTTTCAGTTAATCTTTTGGAGAAAGGCTTAACCTTGCAAGCTTCACAGTCTCGGCTTTAGGGAAATATTACATTTATCTGTGGATATTAAGGGCTCATGTTTGGAATTAAATAAATATAACTGAACACTAAGATGAAAAACAATTTGCTATTAACTGCCAAGTAGCTAGATCTGTTCCTCAGAGCCTGCGGCCTGTATAGTCTACACATGGTCTGCAACAGTCCCCCACCCCATAAAAAAGGATCTCTGGTAGCATAGTAGTTACGAATCGGGCTGCTAACCTCAAGGTTGGCATTTAGAAAACGGGAGAAAGATGAAGCTTTCTGCTCCCGTAAAGATGTACGGCCTCAGAAACTCTGTGCTGTGTCACTATGAGTTGGAACCGACTCCACAGTATTTAACAGCAACAACAACAACCCTATACAAAGGTAGCTAGTGTTCTAAATCCTAATACCTTAGGCTGGAGACCTGGGGTGGCACTGTGGGTTAATGTGCTAGGCTGCAAAGTTGGTTTGAACTGCAAGGTCAGCAGTTCAAGCTCACCAGCTGCTCCTCAGAAACCCTATACAGTGTCATTATGGGTTGGAACTGCCTCGAGGGCACTTAACAACAACAATACCATAGGTTAATTTGACCTATTGGATAAATGAAATAACGCAGATTCGTTTGCCCACTATTACGCTTGTGGAATTCTTCCCTGTTGTTGAGTATGTTGCAGTTTGTTCTGGCTCATTGCTGTATAGCAGTGTCTTCATTCTCTAGTGCTGCTATAAAAGAAATAACAGAAGTGGGTGGCTTTAACAACCAAAAATTATTTCCTCACAGTTCAGGAGGCTAGAAGTCTGAATTCAGAATGTTGACTCTGGGGAAAGGTCCTTGTCACCTTATAACATCTGTAGATTCAGAATTCCTCGGAGATCTCCATGTGTCCTAGAATCAGTCTTCTCTTGGGTCTAGGAACTTCACAGTGTAGGGACCTCAGATCTTACGATGAACCCCATTCCTGGCCCTTCTTTCTTGGGGGTAGTAGGTCCCCTTTTCTTTGCTCACAGGCCTCACCCCTGGGAAACGTCCTGTTAATCGGATTAGGGTTCTGATAGGATTAAGGACATTGCCGCCCACCCTTAAACATTTATTGGTTGGTTTTCCACATCAAAGTTATGGCCAACAAAACTGGAAAGACAAAGAAGTGGCTATAGCAGATTGTTTTCAACAAACTGATTTTCTAGATTTATATACTATCTTTCCTTGGAAAAGTACAGTGTACTGAATTACCAAACACTTAACTATTTTTAATTTCCACAGACTGTATGTAGACCCTAGGTTATACACACCAGGGAGCTTCAAAAAATTCATGGACAAGAATTCCATTATCTTTTTTTTGTTGTTGTTCTTAAATGTTTTATTGTGAATTATGTGATAGTTTACATGGGAGAACATTAGTTTTACATTCATTCTATCGTATATCATCTCATTGCCATGGTTACAATCCCCTCCATGCATCATCAACCAACCAAAGGGTATACCCTGCAATCCTTCCCCCATATTCCCCAGGTCTTCAGCACACAGTTG